ATTAATGTCAGTGCTCCTTGGATAAGGAATTCATAAAGCTACTCAAAAAATCATTATCCCAAGGCATATTTGAAAGTAGGTGAAAAATATTCTGAAGAATTCTGGGGTAAAAAAAATAATAATCATTTTGTAAGAAGATAATTTTGTGTGAAACATAGAAAAAGAAATATATGAATGTTTATTTTATAATATTTTTGGACAAACTTTCTTTTAAATGCACCTATTATGAACACAGTTCATAATCTCTGTTGAAGATCTACATGTTAGGTCTCAAACTCAATTGCTGGAGTGCCGCAGCTCTGCACAGTTTTGTTCCAACCCTAATCAAAACAAATCTGATTCAAATAATTCAAAAGAGTCATGAACACCTTCAGTTTGAGTTTGAGACCTATGATCTACATAAACCTAAAGCCTGGGTTCTTTTGTTGAATATGTTGAAGGAGATTTTCTTTTGGTATCATGATGGACCACCGACAGATGCTTAATTCCAGTTTCGAAAATGTCCCTGTAGATTTCAGCCACTGTCCTGCAGTGACACATCTTGATGACAGTCGAACTAAGAAAGTTATTTTTCGCATTAATACCTCAGCAAACTAATGGTAAGGGTGTGTGGAAAGAATATTGTGACTGAAGCTGTCAAACTGACATCAACCAAAAAAACTGCCACTCCAAACATGGATGCAAATGGTCAGACTTTGATTGGAGATTACCAAAACTAACAGACATTTCGTTAAAAAAATTTCTGTGCTTTACAAGTTTGTTTATAACTACTATTTTTATTTATTTACTTGCACAAGAAGTTTGGCCTGAAGAGAAATGGTCATGCCCAACTGAGCTTGGTTTCTCTCAAAGTTTTTTTCCTTCCCTTTCATCTGTTGGTTAAGTTTTGTTCCTTGCCTCTGACCTGCATGGTTTGGGACTTGTGGAGATGTGCATCGATGGATTTGCTCTTCAGTGTTTGGACTTTCAGCAGTGAAAATTAAGGGTGCTTTCACACCTGTCTTAATTAATTCGATTGAATCGCACTAAAGTTCATTTTCCCTTTTGGTGTGGTTTATTTGGGCAGGTGAGAATGCAGCAATCGTATTTGAGTGCACACCAAAAGAGGACCAAATAAGCGCACCGAGACCTGCTAGAAGAGGTGGTCTTGGTACGCTTTCAAACGAACCCTGGAGCAGTTTGTTTGTGGTGAGAATATAATCCGTACTAAAACAGGTCCAACCGCTGCACCTTTCGGTTGGAAAGCATAAGTGCATAAGTACTGCACCTTTCGGAATAATTCAGCTGCCGTAGGCCGATGCGCAGTGCATTATGGGATATGGAGGAAAAATATTTGTTGACAGCGCTTTACCAACAGAGAGAGATAGAGGGGAAAACATTACCTGATGGATCGTTGGTAATATTTCCGCAAGATGACCATGTCGCAGTTTAGCTAAGTTAATTCACGCCTCCTCCTAAAGTGACGAGCGATGCATTAAAACCCTGTTTTCCTGCCGCGGCAGGAAATACAATCAGTCAACGCAGTCGTCCCTTCACAGTAAAAAGCGACATTTTGTGTCTGCCGGCTTTGTTTACCTGCGGGAGTTCATAGGCATTTTCCCACACGTGAATTTTGACCAATATATAAGCAGTTTAGGAAATATGTTCAACAACATCTGGCCAATAAAAGATGTGGATTTTTACAGATGACTGCATTTTGGTTCGTTTTAACTGGTTCGGACCAAAGCCAGCAGTGTGGTGTGAAAACGACCCAAAGACGGCAGAAAATGCAACAATGTATCATTTATTACCCTTGGTGCGGACCAAATGAACTGAACTAAATTGAACTTCAACTCTGAAAACTGGACTGACACAGTTTCAATTTACTATAATATTCCATGTTAAGCTGCTTTGACAATCGACATTGTAAAAGCACTATAGAAATAAAGATAAATTTATTTTAATTGAACAAACGATTCAGTAAATTAGCTAGCACAGATTAATCGTTCATTTAAATAATAACAATGTGCGATAGCAAAATTAACACCTTACATTTTGATTTCACATGGATTTTAATGTGTCAAGGATGGATGATGTCAAATGCCAGATGAGTTTTCATGTCGTGTTTGGTGCATCTTGATGGTTGTTCAGTCTGACATAACGGCAACAAAGATCTTACAGTCAGACATGGGGATTGTGTTTGTGCAGTCCGACGAGCTACAATCGCATAGGATTATTAAAAAGTGCACAGTGTGAGCTGGGCTTTAGAATGTGCTCTGTTGTTGGCGCCAATAGCCTAGTAGTTAGTGCATCGACACATAGCACAGAGGTGCTCACAGTGACTACAGTTCAAACACCAGCTTCAGGTCCTTTGCCGATCCTTCCCTTCTCTCTCTGCATCTCATTCATTCCTCTCTCCTCTCTAAACTATCCAAGTAAAATAATAGTTAAACCCCCTAAAAATAAATATAAAAAATATTAAATATATATATATATATATATATATATATATATATATATATATATATATATATATATATATACACTCACTCACACACACACACACACACTCACACTCACCGGCCACTTTATTAGGTACACCTTTCTAGTTCCCCTTTTGCATTCAGAACTGCCTTAATCCTTAGTGGCATAGACTCAACAAGGTACTGGAAATATTCCTCAGAGATTTTGGTCCATATTGACATGATAGCATCATGCAGTTGCTGCAGATTTGTCACCTGCACATCTATGATGCGAATCTCCCATTCCACCACAATAGGTGCATCAAATAAAGTGGCCGGTGAGTCTATATAAGCATCACAAAAGCACCAAAAAGACAATTTCTGCATTTTGGGTCACTATGCCAACTGGGTCAGGTTAGAAAGACTGATGGCTCACTTAAACTTTGCCACTCCCTTGATGATCTCATCAGGTAAAACACTGAACAATGTATCACAATAGTGATATAGTGAAGCTGACTTCCTCTTACCTACTACAAGGAGACAGGTATGACAACATGTGCCAGTTATCAGCATGAACAACACAAGCCTGGCCTACTGCTCAGATTAAAAGAACAACACTTGAATGCAAAACTGCTGCTCTAAATAAACAATCATGAAATCAGCTAGTACTACTTCAAGAAAATCAGCATATATGTATATTTTGGAAAAAAGTGCATAGATTATATTTTAATCACATCCAGTCTGCACTTCTTGAACAATCATGTATTGCATCACTGTTTTATAAAGCCTCATAGGATGAATCATATAATGATATTATTATATGATATTGTTATTATTTTTGCTCAATTTATTACACAAATGAATAAACACATCTGAAAGTGGTTTCTTGCATCTATTTTTAAGTTAAATGGGATTTCTTCTTCAAGCATTATTGTCAAACTTATGTTGTAAATCAGTTGCTTGCTGCAGGGTGGTGATTATCCAGAAACAAAACTATTTTAACAAATCTCACACTTTTTGGGGTCAAAGTTTAAACGGGTTTTCAAGCACTAAAACCATAAAATGAAAAGAATGCACATTCTAAAGTAATAGGCTATTAGTAATTGTATAACATTATTCATCAATTTTTTACAACAAGTTAAATTACATGGGATTTATTTATATACGTTTATTCATTCATTTTCTTGTCGCCTTAGTCCCTTTATTAATCCGGGGTCGCCACAGTGGAATGAACCACCAACTTATCCAGCTAATTTTTACGCAGCGGATGCCCTTCCAGCTGCAACCCATTTCTGGGAAACATCCACACACACACACTCATACACTATGGACAATTTAGCCTACCCAATTCACCTGTACCGCATGTCTTTGGACTGTGGGGGAAACCGGAGCACCCGGAGAAAACCCACGCGAAGGCAGGGAGAACATGCAAACTCCACACAGAAACGTCAACTGAGCCGAGGTTGGAACCAGCGACCCTCTTGCTGTGAGGCGACAGCACTACCTACTGCACCACTGCCTCGCCTTATTTATATATAGATCGATTTTCAACATAATTATATTAATCACCAACAATGCTTTATCAAGAAAACATTTCAAATTAATGTCAACATAAATACATAAATTACATAAATCAACATAAAGTACATAAATCTGAATGGCTATGCACAAAATGTGTGATCCTAATTAAACTTTTCATTCACAATTTTAACTCAAATTTCTTTACATAAACAGAAACGGGTTTAAACGGGTTTTTAAAAGAGACAAGTATAAGGAAATAAAAACAAATAATAAAAGTGATTAAAACAGATCAAACGTGTTTTAAAAGGTTATAAAAGAATGAAAAACAAAAGAAAGACATGATAGAGCGATCTGTCGGACAAAGCACAGGGCTCATTCAGTACAGGCACAGCTAAACAGATGTGTTTTCAGTCTTGGTTTGAATGTGCCTAATGTTGGAGCACATCTGAAACACACTATATGTGTGTATAAGCAATAAGAGTACTCCATTCCTTTTATTTCTTTCAGTGTCACTCTGTCCTCTCGCAATGAATGATAACACAAGACTCAATAACAAAAACCAAGGAGTCAATAAAACTCTTCCAAAACAAACATAACGTGGGTAATAAACTTGAGCAAGTCCTTTAAACCTATTCAGAAGTGCACAAATCTAATAATGCACAAAGCAAAAAAACATCTAAAACCTGATGTCCACTCTGATGTGCTGGAGTTTGTATTGACTTCAATTATAGCCCATTATAAAAAATTCATTTAATTATTTAAGCTAAATAAATACGTCAGGGATTACACACACACGCAAAATAGCATATAAACTGGCTCAGCATGCATTCACACATCAATTGTCTTTTTTCTGCAAGGGAAGCTTCCTGTCAATATTCATGACCAAGAAGCCCTGATGCCTCATGGATGCACTGAAATCGAGCACTGCGCTCATTCTGCAGGGCAGCTGCGTCACATGCACCACTGCATGTGTACTGTTGTTTACTTTGCATTCTTGAAATAAATACACAAGGTAAATGTCAAAACGCAATCACTCACCTCGTCTTTTCCTTCAGTGCTGCTGTCCTGCTGCTCAGATGTGCAGAGTTTCCTTTTGTTTTTGCTCTCGGTTTTCTTCATTCTGATGGATGGCGGCTGAGCGCTACTCTAATGTTAATATTTTGTTGAATCCAGTGGTCAGTGCATTCAGATACTGAAACAAATCTCGCCCTGGTACATGGTGAGCAAACCTCTCCTCAACTTTGGTCCACAAATACAGAATAAATGATGAACGCAGGTTTGCTTTTGTGTTGCACTCTCGACCTTAAGTTACAACCCCATCTGCCATGACAGCCAGTCTGTTTTTCTTCTCTTTTTCCGTCAAATACTGCTTTGTTTTCAGTTTTATGTAAACTATGCGGTTTTAGCGCCGAAAATCACCCGGCGGAACACGCTAGCTCGCTAGCAGTTTGTTGATAAAGTTTGACAACATCCGCAAAATAAACGCCTTTTGAGTTTACCAAAATTGAGAAAGTGATCGTTTAAAAGCAATGTGTAAATGAACTCGCCGGGCTCGAGTCTGTCACCGTGAGAGTGTAACGACAGGTTATCATTATGCTGAATAATGCCGCGTTTCCAACGTGTTTGCTGCCGTTTGAAGTCTTCCAGCGGATTGTCTCGTCTTGGTGAACCAATACTTTAGCATTCCAGTTATAACAAAACAAAGAGCTAACGTATAAAAACAGAAAATTTCCTCATCCACTAAACTGCCAGCAGACTGGAGATACACTTCGCCGCAGAGCCACAACACAGCGTTTAACTGTCCATCATGTCTCGTGAGTCTAGAGAGCGAGCTCTGTTTTGACGCGGATCATTATATCTAGCGGTCGCGAAGCTCCGCGTTTCTCCTTCAGTCTCGCTTTTCTTCAGACGTCAGCCCGGCCGGGTGCGGGGGAAACGGCTCGGTGCCGAAAACAATCGCTAATCAGACCCGGTGTTCTGTCATGCCGTCGCTTTTCTCCGAGGAGGAAATCTAGTAGCTTCCTGAAGCTCGCATCAAGTGAACGACCGCCGGTGAGCGCCAAATGCTGATCTAAGTTCAGTCTGTGTAGCAGAGTCTCAGAGAGGAGTCTTGCATATGCACTCGAGAGCTGATCTGAGTTCAGTGTGTAGGAGCAGATTCTAACTAAGTGGGGGAGTCTTGCATTGCATATACACCGGAGGGCTGATCTGGGAACGTTGTTTCCTCCAATGGCTTAGAAGGGGCAAGTGAAAAGATCGCTTTTTGGAGAAATTCGACTTTAGTTTGTTTTTGCTGCCATCTGCTGAGACTAAAGTAACCCTTCCTGCTTAAAACAATGTATAGATCCAAGCTCTCTGTACTATTCCTATTCTATATATTTGAGAAAAATAGAGGCTCAGCATATAATAATAAAACATTTAAAAATATATTATGAAATAAAAATATATAAATAAGTAATGCAAAATATTAAAGATTAATAAAAAATAAACATGAAAAAAGTAAAACTAATATTTTAATGAATACATAAATTAATACAATAGTATGCATAAGGGAAAAAAAACAGAAAAAAAACATATTCTAAATAATAATTTGTTCAGAAATTAAACTTTAACAACAGGGAAATTTAGCACTTAAACTTACTTTTCTTTTTAAATGCTTTTTTCTGTGGTTTGTGTGTGTGTGTGTGTGTGTGTGTACATATAAATAGTCCCTTTATTAATCTGGGGTCACCACAGCGGAATGAACCGCCAACTTATCCAACAAGTTTTTACGCAGCGGATGCCCTTCCAGCCGCAACCCATCTTTGGGAAACATCCACACACACATTCACACACACACACACACACACACACACACACACACACACACACACACACACACACACACACACACACACACACACACACACACACACAGGACAATTTAGCCTACCCAATTCACCTGTACCGCATGTCTTTGGACTGTGGGGGAAACCGGAGCACCCGGAGGAAACCCACGCGAGCGCAGGGAGAACATGCAAACTCCACACAGAAACGCCAACTGAGCCGAGACTCGAATCAGCGACCCAGCGACCTTCTTGCTGTGAGGCGACAGCACTACCTACTGCGCCACTGCTTCGCCTATATATATATATATATATATATATATATATATATATATATATATATATATATATATATATATATATAATTAATGGAGAGATTTTTTTCAACACATTTCTAAACTTAATAGTTTTACTAACTCATTTCTAATAGCTGATTTATTTTATCTTTGCCATGATGACAGTACAATATTTTACTAGATATTTTTAAGAAACTAGTATTCAGCTTAAAGTGACATTTAAAGGCTTAACTAGGTTAATTAGGCAGGTTAGGGTAATTCAATTCAATTCATGTTTATTTTTAAAGTGCTTTTCACAATGAAGATTGTGTCAAAGCAGCTTAACATAGTTCTAGTAAAGTCCAGATTTCACAGTTGAAGTTCAGTTAACTAGTTCATGCGGTTTATGTTTCACTGCTGAAAATTAAAACTGAAGAGCAAACTCACCGAAGTGCAGCTCCACAAGTCCAAGCAAGCCACTGGTGACAGAAGTGAGGGAAAAAAAGAAAAACTTCACCCATTGACAAAGTGAAGGAAAAAAAAACCTAGAGAGGAACCAGGCTCTGTTGTACATAACCATAATTTTTATGGCCAAACTTGAAGAGCTGCAGTCTAGGACACTGGACACACCAGATTCTAGAGAAGCTGGAGGTCAATCGTGGAGAAGGTGCAGGTGTGAGTAGGTCGTCGTTGGGGAGTCAGGCTGGCCCAATCGAACAATGCGGTGACTGTGCATCTGTCACAGTGCTCTTTCAGGAATCAGTCTCATGCATTCCATTCCTCAATAACCATCACCATCAAGTCAGGATACTGCCTGGTCCATGATTATGGATATCTTGGGATCATCTCTTCACAGTTCTTGGATCGCATTAATGACACTGCATAGTCTCTAGGGACTTTAGAATGAGTATCCCCAGGTGGAAATAGAGAATAAACAAAATAATTATCGTAGCTGCTGTTCATAGTGTATTTAAACGAGATGCAACAATGAAAATAGCAGTTATTTAAACAAACATAGAAACAAACATGTAAAGCAGATGAGAGTTTTTAACACAACGTCTGGTGTATTAAGGAGGAGTGTGTCTTGCAGGTGGTTGTCAAGCCAGCTCACCCGCGTGGAGCACATTCATGCATCATACCGTTATTTAATGTCTGCTTTACTAAAAAGATAGGTCTTTAATCTAGTTTTGAACTGAGAGAGTGTGTCTGAGCCTTGGACATTATCAGGAAGGCTATTCCAGAGTTTAGAAGCCAAACGAGAAAGCTCAACCTCAACCTTTACTCGACTTTGCTATTCTAGGTGCTACCAGAAGCCCTGATTTTGAGATCTTAGAGAGCGGGTTGAATGGCAGAGAGACAGAATGTTGGTTAGACAAACAGAAACTAGATTATTTAAAGCTTTTTAGGTAAGAAGCAATATTTTATAATAAATACAAAACTTAACCGGCAGCCACTGTAAGGAGGATACAATTGGGGTGATAGGTTCATATGTTCTTGACCTGGTAAGAACTCTGGCAGCTGCATTTTGTATAGCTGAAGTTTATTAATAAAGGATGCTGGACAACCAGCGAACAGAGCATACAGTAATCCAGCCTAGAAGTCATAAAAGCATGAACAAGCTTTTTTTTATTAGGGAGGTTATTGTATAACGATGCTTTGTTCTGCAGACCATCTGGAAAAAATAGCTTAAAGAGGCTAAAATAATTACATTATTTATAGAAAGCTTAAAAAATTACAAATATCACACATTTTAGAATATTATTGTACATTTTGACATAGAGTGAAGTAAACAAGGATCTAGCGGCTAATGATTTTCACTTTAAAATGGCTTAAAAAAAACTGCTATATAATAAAACAAATAAGACTTTCTCCAGAACGACAAATATTATCAGACATACTGTGAAAATTTACTTGCTCTGTTAAACATCACTTGGGAAATATAAAAAAAATATATAATAATAAATTCAAATGTGGGCTAATAATTCTGACTTCAACTGTATGTATATGTGTTTACACACACACACACACACACACACACACACACACACATATATATATATATATATATATATATATATATATATATAGAGAGAGAGAGAGAGAGAGAGAGAGATAGATAGATAGATAGATAGATAGATAGATAGATAGATAGATAGATAGATAGATAGATAGATAGATAGATAGATAGATAGATAGATAGATAGATAGATATTTGAGCGCTAGTGAGGACGTTTTTAAATGCTGCTGATTTGCCATTGTGTTAACATGCTTAACAGAAATGGCTGCAATTCCCCGTGAAGGTCATTAGTTTGACAAGATCATTGCTGTATACTGAGTGTAACCACAGATACAGAAACACTGGAGCGTTTTAAAGCCGCAGTTTATCAGCGGATCACTTGTATGACAGCTTATAGACAAACCAGCTGATCAACGTGACTTTGAAATGCTCCAGTGTCCCTGGCTGTTTCTCAATAAGCGTTCATCAGGGGTCTTGCATCCTCGTGTTTTCGTGTAACGTCATTATCGGCTGCCGAAATTCTGTTCCAATTCTCAAGACCACAGTAACAGAGGACGCATGAAACTTCTCGGATGTGTTCTTGATATCAAGGACGCATCTATGCAGAAATCTATGCACCGAACTCGCTCCAGAAGTCATTGCGACTGGAGGTGGGAAGCGCAGCATTTTATTTAGATTTATTATAGTTCAGAGATATAACTTCTTTAACTCAGGAGATTCCCTAAACAAAACGGTGAAAGTAAACATCACCATAAACATCTTAATAAAGGAATAAACACATTAAGGTTGTTTATTTACTGAAATTTATATTTAAATCTGTTTTATTTGTATTGTGCAATGTATATTTATAACGTTTTTATGCATAGTATATATTTTGACTAGGGGAAAAACAATAGATTGTTGTATGAATGCTGTCATTATTAAATAATTTTTCTTTAAAAATGCATGAGGGTCATGTGACTATCAGGAAGAACGCAGCATCTCATTTCTCACAGGATGCATTCTCTGCCCTTGTAGTCTCCCGAGTCCATTCTTCCGAGGACACCTGGCAAGACTGGTCTTCACAAGAAGTCTATTCTCTGCGTTCTTGAAATTGAGAAAGAGCCCCTGTATCTGTGTTTACCGATGACCTTCACGGATAATCACATGGCCAGTCATTTCTGTTGACCACGTGAACACAATAGCAAATCAGCGGTGTTTAAGATCGTGCAACAGCACTCATTTGTCATTTGTTCACGGGAAATAGACGTTTTTAAAATTTCAGTACTGATTGGTATCGAATTCTAGTATTGTGACAACCCTACTTATCTTTATTTAACAGTATTTATATGTAATTTCACACATTATGTGAATGCATTCATTCATTACAAAGTCAAAACAAAACATATCTGTATAACCATAAACCATAGGACACAAAATCTAATTGAAGGTACAAAAATAAAGACAATGGAAACAGATATGATGCACGTACTTTTAACACAATACTGACATCACAAATAAATAATTTAATCCCTTATAAACTTCTTCTCAGGATAAACCTGCTTAATGATAAGAGTACCCAGCAAGGACAAAAAGGCTACAATTGTGAGTATTGCCCTCAACGCTTTAAACCAGCTGGGGTAAGTGGGCAGGAGGGACAGGTCATAATGCAATGCTATCCCGAGCCCTATTATTACAATCATAGCAGAAGATGTAATGTCATGCTGGAAAAGAAGCGCCGTCCAAGCAATCAGGGAGGGAACCACGCTGTTGGCCAAATTGAGCCAGTCAGGTTTTTCAGGACTTCCTGCAGGCAAGGCAAAACCCCAGCGAATCCCACCAAGAAAGGAAACAATGGATGCTCCATATGCAACCTGAGCAAACGCAACATCAGAGTAATACAGCTCTGTGACAGCCATTAGCAGAGGAGCAGATACAAAAGGTATGAGTCCAGCTAATCCCAGATAGAGAGCTGGTTTGGGAGCATTCTTTAGGTGTTTCATGTCGTAACGGAGTAAATCAAGTTCTCTTGGTGGACTCTCTTCTCCTTGAGGTTGTTTCTTGAGTCTGTGGACCGACCAGTGGAATGACTGGGATCCCAGAACAGCACTGGTACCATGCCTTGGGAGAAACTGTCCAT